GGGCGGGGGTGCGGGGAACCCCAGGATCTTACTCAAAAGAAAAAGCATGTTTATGTTCAGCTTTTAAATAGTGCAATAGTGTTAAAGTCCTCTTAACGAGGCATATTAAAATATTACTATGCCAACAAACATTGTCCTCTGCAACTAAAGTACATGCCAATTCTGCACTCCGTTTCCTCTGATGCAATCTTTGTTTTTTTGTCTTACTTTCCCATTCTTTGTAGTAAACAAATTGGACCACACACTGAAATTCTTTTGACACTGTAATCATTTTGCCTTTTTGGTACCTGTGGCTGACAACTACTGACTCAAATTATTGTCATTTTAAATCCAGCACATTCTCTTGTGTGTTTTCTGGACAAGGACAGAACAATGGAGCTTGCACTAACCAGCATGTGTCAGATAAATAAAAAGAATGCTAGCCCTGTAGTTTCTCAAGGTATATTTGACATATCTTACCAAACAGGATGAAAAGTCCATGTGGTGTGATAGCCTGTTTAAAAGATAAAATGAGTATATTATTTTTAAAGCCATGCAAATAAAGAAATCTATTCTATAACTGCAAGGTAAATAAAAAGAATGGAAGAAATACTGCACACTAATACATAAACCTGTCTCTCCAAAAGCCATTCCCTGCAGTAACTACAGCGTATAGCATTCTTGTTAATATATATTTGCTATGCGCATATAAAATATTTAAACAAGCTAACACTTCAGCTCATGCATTTTCATCCCTCAAGACTCAGTCTGTCATGCTGAAGAAGTTATTAATATATTAAGTGGCTTAATTATTTGAACTTACTTTTTCCAAGCTATCAGTTCATTCCCTGAAAAACGAAAGCCATTTGCTAAACTAGAAATAGAATAGAGCATTCAAGAACTTGTTTGTATTTTCTGAACAGCAGGCAACACCTACAAAACTAAAACCAGTTGCTTCAAAATGTGTTTGCTTTGTCTTCAGTTTTGTCCCTATGTCTGTGACCATGACATTTACAGCCAGATTTTATTCAACTGAGGCAAAGGTTTTGCCAGTAATCAGTACTAAAAATACCTGGGTATCAGAAGCACTACTCACACTCTCTAGCCCTATTCCTTCTCAACTCACAACATTTGAAATGTGTACCAAACATGCCTAAATTATTTAAAAACAAGATACTACAGGCTAAGTGTAAGCCCATATCCTTTCATCATCAGCATTGAGTGATAAGGAACAATTATTATCAATGTGACATTTAAATACTTCTAGAGTTTATCCTTCTAACCCCAATATTTTAATTCAGCATAGAGTTTATTTAAAGACATTTCTTAAGCAAATGAGACTGCAATGTTTCTACTAAAAAATGTTTTTTGGAAGACAATCCCAGCTAATTTAAAACTCATGAGGGAATGTTCAAAGGGACACTGAAACCTTGCAACGTGGTAGAAATATAAATTGAAATAAGGTCAACCAGTTTTTCTATACACAGATGAAGAAGTGACAGGGCTCAGACAACCACTACTGAAGAACAAGTGTTACACAGTTGCCAAGAAACGTATTTACAATAATTTATATTTCCAACAATTAATGTTATTCTACATTCTTGGGTTTTACCTTTTAAGAAGTTGAGCATTATTTGATACATTTATGCTGTATTATGCATTGCAGCACAAAGTTCTACATGACAAATTCTTTGATATGATTAGGATTGAGTAAAGCAGCAATATCCTAAAAAATAGCTTTGACCTGTGCTTCACATAGGCTTATTCTTAAAAACCATACTCTTTTAAGACTCAATCATCTTGAATAATCAGCTGCAGAAAGCACATCCACAGCAATCATCAGAAACTAACTGAGATATATTGACAAATCAAAGAAAAAAATTACTTGTCTTATAGTCCTAATCTGAAGCTGTTTCTTCTGATGCTTACTGTGAAATTCAGCTGTTAGTACAAAAATTACTTAAAGATCAAAGGAACTAGTCAATAGATTTTTAAATGTAATATGAAGATAACTTCCATTTTGCCAACAACTCCTAATTTTATCCATTTTATGATTAAGTAAATCTAATGAGCGTGTAAAACAAACAAGAATTTTACATTGTTATAGTAGAATTGCTTATCAACAGTCAAGTAGAATTGTGCTTTAAGTCATGGCCTTGGTAAAGCTTGATTTTTATGGGTTCTTTTAAGAGACATACTTTGCTTTTAACTAAACACAGATCAATGTCTAATATTTGAGTTACAGGAGTAAGCCTATAGAACCGTCTATGTCGTATCCACTATAAAAATAAGTATCCAGGTTGTCCTTGGCAATTTTACTACCAACATAGGAAAAAAAATCTGTGTGGCACTATGAAAACTGAACATGTGTATTTATTAACTTTTAAAAATGGATTTACAGTGATGTCAATAGCAAAGTGTGCCTGTGTTCTTCCTCTCCAATTTGGGAAAAGTTGCAAAACAGGAAAGATCCTATCAATGTTTTGAAAGGTACTTGATTTGGTATGCTTTTATCTCCTATTCTCCTCCCTCCTGGTTTTCTAACTTGTCAAGTTCATAACAAATGAAGAATTCTTTGGCATCTCTAATGATAAAGTAGCACACAGAGGAATCATATTAACAGAGATACCAGTACATTTAGTCATAATATATGTTGTTTACCTCCTCAAATATTTCTCATGTCTGACCATAGACTTTTTTCTAATTACTAGCTACACTGCTAACGTAGGTTTCCTAAAGTAAATTGTGTTAGGAAGCTTTTCACTGTTGACTGGAGTTTTTCAATCTCATCAATATTGCAAACTATCTCAAACAAAAATAGAGCTGTCCTGTTTTTTATATTATCAACATAGACATTTCCTCTCTTATTTCTTCAGCTAATGTCAATTTGCCAGAAGGGTTCTGGCAGTTGGTACAAGTTGGTACTCACATCAGTTCCACCAATCAAACTTACTTCAGGGTTGAGGTTGCTGACTAGTAGAACCGAATTTCCTGAAACACTAGTAACATTAGGAATAGTCATCTGTCCAGATGCTCCAGGTGTGGTGACTGCATGAGAAACAGATGGAACCGGAAAACCTGGAAGGATATCAATGGCATCACTTCACATCTCAAAGTGGAAAAGACATGTTACAAGACAAAGGCAGGTTACGTTTGGAAAAAACATCAATATTCAATTAAAAAAATGCTTTTAAGGAATTTAGTTATTCCTAGTATCTGTCAAACAACGCAGGAAGCACCACCCCTCCAGAGATGAAGCAATATTCAGCTACACCAACAGACCCAAACAAAAGAGGACTTAAATTGCAGCCCAAGAAAGAAGAAAATAATTTAGCACAGAAGTTTATCCTGTGCGAGAAAGGAAAAGATTGCTAAGTCTAGAAGACTATTTATTTCTAAATTTATAGCCAGGAAAGATGAGACTCCTTGTTTTAGATTTGAATATCACCAAAGTCTTACGATTCTTAGAAAAACAGATGCTTAGAGTTTCTTCTCTTGCAAGTAATCTTTATCATGGCATTTAATTTCTTCACTTACTAAATGATAAACTACATCACCATATGTTTTTTATTACAGAAAGTAATTTTACTGAATAATATGAGAAAGAGAATCAGAATGACTCAAATTAACATTGTGTTCTGACTGCTATATTTGAAAACAATTTGCTGTGAACACAGGTGGTATTCAGAGAGATCATCAGCCCCAAAAGCAAACACCACATTTTTAGAAAATAGAAACTTACCAGCACCTTGCGGAAACCCAATGGCTGGGGCAAACCCAGGAGCTCCTGCATATGATGGGAAGATGATATTTGGGGTGCCTAGAAAGAGCAGACACATCTAATTAAAACAGATTTTAAAATATCTAGAAAACAGAAGAGACTTCAGCAATGAGAATTGGCTTCCAGTGTTGCTATTCTGACTTCAGTCCATGCTTACATCTTTTATAAAATGTTTGGGTTAAAAACTCTCATTGAAATCCAAGATTCTATGTTTTACAGGACAATTTTCAGCCACTTTTGAAAGCAAATATTCTGATTAGCCTCAATGTCACTCTCTAAAATGAAGTCAGGACAAAACATAATTTAGACAAGTTTGAACAGGAAAGCCCAGCATAGATTAGTATCCATAAAAGTTAAGATACCTGTGGTGCAATGTTCAGCAGTTTTTATTCACACAATGGAAATGCATTCTAGATTTTTTTTGGAAGTAAAAACACTCAAAGACATTTTGCAATGACTAGATACAGCTATTTCCTAGATATTTCTAAAACCAATATGGGCTAAATAATACAAACAACTACAATGAATCTGAGGTTCTGAATTTTACTAACTATCGAGATGCATAAAGTATACATATTTTGCTTTTTAAGGAGATGTACTTTCCCAGCTTGTATTACGTCATAAATAACCAATTTTTTTTATGGTTCTCCTGGCAATCACAGGCATTAAACAGATTTGGAATATCAACATATGGAGAGTCCCAGCCTCGAAGACAGCTCAGTGATTTTCACATTAATATGTGGAGTTAAACACTACCCAGGGCAGCACACGAACTGGTGTTCTAAGAGGCAGTTAGACACAAGCTTGAGTTGTGGATTCTTTCATACGTTAGCACACTAGATTTTTTTAAACAGGATATATATGTATATATGTATAATCAGCAAATACATCCTGCAAGCCTGACAATATGTCTGTTTTACTACTCAAACCTCCATCATTGACTAAAATAGCTACATTCACTAACAGATGCTTATTGACAGGGATGATACAATACCAGAAGAAGTATCCGTTATGAATTACAAAAATAACAAATGAAACAGACACCACAGATCAAGTATTCATGAATACTGCATCACATTACACATCCTCTTATCTGTGGCAACAAAGTGTCTTTCATACAAACAACTGAATACATTTATCACACCAAAGCAAGTAATTTTGTTCTTCAAATACACAGACTGGTGCATTATACTGACAAGTTCTGGCAATATAGGTATTAATCACTTATTCACAATCCAAGAATCGTAATGGAAACATTAATGAAGAAACAGATAAAGCACTTTTATTCTGCCAAATGAGACCTGCATGTTGCACACTGATACCAAAATCAGGCATGTAAAAATTGTCAAACAGCTAATGCAGAAAGATCTGGAATTCTTCTTTTGCAATTTTTTTAATGTGTAAAATTATTTGCTTCATGGCTAGCAGCTAGCTTTCAAAGCAAGCTAATTCTTATATCTCAGCTTGTGCTCACTGGGTGAGAGAACTCTTTAAATGCAAAACATTTGCAAAATCTGCTTGTTTATAGTGCAGTATATTTTCCACCAAAAACAAACAAACAAACAAAACCAAAACAAAAAAAGAAGAAAAGAAGAAAAGAGAAAAAACAAGTTTTGAGAGCAGTTCAGTTTTGCTATTAAGACAACTTCAAGTTTACAGAAAAAATGGATGTACTATTCTGATAGCTACCTGCTTCATCTTGTAATTCTCCATCAAAAAACCCACGTCCAGTAGTAATAACATAGGAAATGTAAGTGCTGACATGACTCCCATCATCTTTTCATCATGTCATACAACTGAGGACTATCACAACATGCCTATTACAACATATGCATGTTTTTACCACTGACAGAAAGGCTAGATGCATGTTTCTCCCAGTGTACAGCTATATATATTTTTTTTTTAATGAAAAATATCTGTGCAGCTGCTTCACTGTGACTGCACTACAAACAGATTTTGATACAGACATCAGACTTCTCTTTACACCAGCAACTCTGCTGTTGTTACTATTATTGTAAATGTTCAGACTGAAAACGAGAATGCTAGCAATGACAAGCTTGGAAGAGTGAGGGGGAAGGAAACAGAGAAGCGTTGATGTGTTATCCTCCAAAAGCATGCATACAATGTATCTCTGCCCTACAAGCAAGTTTGTCCTTAATCTACTCTAATTGTACTTTCCCCTTTCACTGACATTTCAAATTGTGTAAGTATAATTAATCAGATCTATAGCAGCACATTTCCATGATGCTGTACAGCAAATCCTCAAAAAAATTATAAAGATGCTTGTACATTACATAAGGATCCAATGCCTGCCATTAAGGGGACCAACAAAAACAATCAAGGAAGTAGTGAATGCAACTCACTTCCCTACACTAACCTAAGCTAACAAAGCCAACTGTCCAAAAAACCCCCAAACCAAACCCAGTATATACCCGAGCTATCACAGAAAACTAAAGGAAAAAAGGGAATTTTTCCCCAGCCCTTGCTACTGTTGTAACCAACTGGACAGTACACAGATACTTATTCAACAGCTGAGACAGTTCTTATCTATTGCTGATAGTTGTCATTAAAGAAAAATAGCTATAATTGTTCAAATTGCATTGTGAGCACTTCTATCAGGTCACCAGATTAATCTGTTTGATTATTTGCATTATTTCCAAAGTTGATTAAAAGAGCATGCCTGACCTATTTATGCCAAGGCTTTTCCAGTGTGATTTCAAGCAGACACTGTGTCCTCTATGCCATGGAAGTGACTCCTAAAATTCAAGAAAATTTCTAAAATTTTATTTTTTAGAAGGTGACTACAAAATATACATAAATAAGTGTAGTATTTCGAAGTTTCTTATGGTTTTGTTTGTTACAGCAGGCAGTTATCCTAAAATATCAACAATAAAAGCTAACACCCTTAAAACACCTACTTGCAAGCAACTTTAGGCAACCAGTGTCAATTTGGATGACTGTCATTGACCATTCTGACATGCAACATTTATTATACTACCTGTACCAATGATATAATTTCACCACATTTTACAAATATAGCATTTTGACAACACTTTGAATTTGCCCAAGAGCATTCCTCATGCTATAGTTTCAGATACTCATTTATCTTGAGTAGGACTTTCTCCTTTCCGTACAAACTTTACTGGACCTAACTAACTGAAATGTCCGCAAAATGTACCCTTCTGTGAACCTGTTATGCAGCCAGAGCATAAATGCAACATAAAAAGCATAATAATCTTACTGTGTATTCATCATTAGAAGTGAAGGTTTCTTACCAAATGGAGTAGCTATGGACGGCTCCAGAGATGGCTGGCCATCACCAGAAGGAAGGTCAAGGCGAGTGAAATCTCTACTTTTGTCATTGTTGTACTTCACCTTAAGGTTACTTAACTTGGAGAAATCAATACGCAGAGTGCAGCATGCAGTGTAGATACTTTGGCCATCCAGACCCTGAAGAAAAATAATTATATTTTCAGAGAGAAAACATAGTGTGGCACCAACACTGTAAGTTTATTTTATTTTCACCCTGCAATTGTATCCAAACAGAAATTCATCTTCTGTTTTTAGGGTACTGCTTTTAAACACCAAGTAGGCAATTGTACTGCCACTACCATTACCTAAACATCCTGTGTAGGTACTAGTGTAGTTCACTAATTCGTAAGTATTATGTCATCTTGTGCCAGTGGACAAAACATAGCTTTAAGCATGACTTGTCTTTCTAACTGTGCTTCTAATCCTACTTGTCTCCCAATCAATGCACAGTATCAGATGCTAGTAGCGATACTGTTTTGAAGATTTTTATTATACGGAACTGTCCCTCACATAAACTGGTGAAGGGTCTAGAGCACAATTCCTGTGAGGAGCAGCTGAGGGAATTGAGGTTGTTTAGCCTGGAGAAGAGGAGTCTGAGGGTAGACCTGATCGCTCCCTACAACTACCTGAAAGGAGGCTATTGCCAGGTGGGGGTTGGTCTCTTCTCCCAAGTAAAAAGCGGTAGAACAAGAGGAAACAGCCACAAGTTGCATCAGGGGAGGTTTAGATTGGATATTAGGAAAAAATTCTTCACTGAAAGGGTTATCAAGCATTGGACCAGGCTGCCCAGGGAAGTGGTTAAGTCGCCATCCCTGGAGGTGTTTAAAACACACGTAGATGTGGTGCTTAGGGACATGGTTTAGTGCTGGACTTGGCAGTGCTAGGTTAACGGTTGGACTTGATGATCTTAAGGATCTTTTCCAACCTAAATGATTCTATAAAATCCATCTTTTTAAGAGCCGCTATGCTTAGAAAGATCACCAAAGTAGTATTTTCTGCCTGTACCAGTCATACAAGAATCATGATGGATGAAGGGGAAAAAAACCACTCAAAAGATACTGGTTTGTTATAATTATTTAATATAACCTGGACTGAAATGATAATTTCTGTGAAATCTTTAGTAAGGTACCATTGATTATTAATACTGTTCTTTAAATAAAGATGCTATTGCTAACAAACAGGCTGTAATCTCATCTACATGTACTAATTTCTACTACGTACTTAATGTCTAAAACACATAGTAAATTTACTTGCTGGACTAAAGTGCAAGTAGCAATAAATGTTCTGTGCCTTTAATTTTGAAGCTGAAAATAAAGTCAACTTCAATAACAACAGTAGGGCAAAATTTCCATTAATTTTTTGAAAAAAGTAATGGTAAATACTACTTAATACTTAGCAGAATCTATTGTTCTATATAACTTCTGTAGGAACTTTCAAATTGATTTTATTTATTTAATAACATTGAGGTGACCACATAGGTTAAAAAGAAATACAAAGTGTCTGAGGCTTAGTTTCAAGTACGTGAAGTATTTTATCTTCTGTTTTTATTTTTTACTTCACAGTTCAAGTATTATGACATGATGATTTGTAACACTGCTGTCCCTGCTGCAAAAATCTGGAAGTCTTTGAGGTCTCAGCTTTTAATATTTGATGATCAACTACTCCCTCACTGAAGAAATTAACAATATTTTCTAGAAATTCAAATATTTAGCTATTATAAGGAAACTAATTCTAAAAGTTGTTTTGAAAAAAAAGAAAAAAAGGGGTTGTGGTGGGTTGACCCGGGCTGGGGCCAGGTGCCCACCAGAGCCGCTCTATCACTGCCCTCATTCACTAGACAGGGGAGAAAAGGTACAACAAAAAGCTTGTGGGTCGAGATATGGACAGGGGGAGATCACTCACTAATTATTGTCACGAGCAAAACAGACTGAACTTAGAGTGGGAATACAGAGTAGAGGAATGAGAAATAAAATCAAATCTTAAAACACCTCCCCCCACCCCTCCCTGCTTCCCGGGCTCAACTTCACTCCTGGCTTCAACCTTGAGGAATGGGGGTTACAATCAGGTGGTCACACGTTGTTTCTGCCACTTCTTCATCCT